AAGTGCTACGCCCACGCGAAGGAGATGAAGGGCAAGCACAGGGGGCTCGGCACGGTCTGTGCCCCAGCGCTCAAGCCCAGCGCCCAGGCTGAGCGCAAAAGGAAGGCAGAGAAGATCATGAGAGGAGTGGCTCCTTCGGGGAGGTCGCTCACGTGATGGCGTCGCGGCGGGCTCCACTCCTTCTGAGCTGCCGCCCGCGACGCCTGCTGCGTCGCCGCCGCTCTGCCCTGTCGAGTTGCCGCTGTTTGCGGCGACTCCAGAGGCGGCCAACAGGGCTGCCGTGCGTGCCGCGGCGCAGGAGCTGGACGTGCGCGCTGCGCGCACTCAGGCTGCAGGGAAACAAAAATTCTCGGTCGCCGAGGGCGCAACCTAGGGCGCAACCGATAGGAGATGGTTTTATTCTTGGCCGGCGAGGGCGCAACCTATGGCACAACCGATCGAAGAAGGTTTTATTCCCAGCCGCCGAGGGCGCAACCTAGGGCGCAACCGATAGGAGCCGGTTTATTCTCAGCCGCCGAGCCGCTCTCTTGAACCGCAAGCGGGCCAGCGAGGGCGTCGAGGACCGAGGTGCCAGGAGAAGGAGGATGAGCAGGAGGAGGGAGAGAAACGAGGACGAGGTCCTAGTCGAGGGCGAGGAGGAGGAAAAGCTGGAGCAGGAGGAAGACGAGGAAGACGGGGAGGACGAGGAGGAGGAGGAGGAGGAGGACGACGACGACTATCAGGATAGGGTTAAGTCGGGCCTGGCCCCCTACAGGGGGATTTTTGACGAAACATAGAAAATATGTGAAACATGGTCTAGAAATGATGCAAACATAGTATGTTTTTTTTTTTTGGGGGGGGGGGGGCCTTTTGTGTGTATTCATATGGTATTTTTCTGTTATTCGTCGAAAATCCCCCTGTGGGGGGACAGGCCCGACATAAGGATATGGAGGAAGACGGGGAGGAAGTGTGGGCATTCGAATGGGTGCGGGGCTACATCCCATTTATGCTCGCCGTTTGGGCTGGCGGTGGGGCCCAAATGGCGAGCTGCCTTATGATTTTTCCATCGCGCGGTCTGCAAACCTTGCGAGGGGCCGCAGCCTGCCTACTGCGGAGGTCGCGCCCACGACGGGCGCTGGAAAGGCGGCCACTTTTCAAGGTGGGTAAGGTGTACAAGGGCGTCATTTGCAGAATGTGCTGGGTCTAGTACGCTGCTCCTGGCGAGCATGACCTGAGGGCAGAGTGGTTCTCTCGCCGTTCCAAGGCTTACCTCGGCGTCTTTCCAGAATCCCAGGGCAAGTGAGTTTGCTCGTTTTCGCTAGCGTGGGCCTGGTCGGGTTATTTGTACGCTTGATGGTCCCCGTTCCCTCGCCTTGTGTCGCCCTAGTGTGCCTCCCTGTCAGTGTATTTCTGGCGTTGCGTGGCGTTTGTTTCCCCGCTTGTGCCTGCCAGATGCTCGTAGGACTGTCCAGGCCCTTATTGTTGCGTGTCGCCTTGCTAGGCTTCCCAGCCCTGTCTGGATCCCCACGCTCAACGCGCTCCAGTCAGTGCAGTGCAGGTGAGATGTTTTTCAACGTGCCGTTTCGCTCTTAGTCGGATTTTTATGTTCCAAGAAAAGGTCGGTTCTTTGTTTGGTTGCCCCTTTCGTCATGAGTCGCCCCCGTTCGATCGCGCGTGGGCCACCATCCCACGTGTATGCACGCTGTCGCGTTTGGACTATGCTTTGCTCTGGGCTCATCGCGCTCAGTGTTTGCTATTCAGGCTCCTGTAGGTCTGATCAGGGATTTGCACTGCTAGCGTCTCCCTGTCCTCTAATTGTGGGTCGCCCCATTCGCCTTTCTTGTTCATGAGGGCGTCCTTCGCCCTTTGATGTTGCAGGGTTCCCCGTTTTAGGCCTCGCATTGTTCATCAGCCGTTAAGTTCCCCTCTGTGGGTGCGCGTTTCCGCTTCCAGAGGCTATCCTTTGCAAGTTCACTTGCGGCATTGCCACGCGATCTGTCTCTTAGTCTTCTACGTGTAGGTGCGTACCTTTTCTTGTTCAGCGTTCCCAAGATCATTTCGTCAGTTTCGGGCCTGCCTGGAAACAGGTTGGTTCAGGGCAAGTTGCTTGTCCCTGCGGCGACGGAGGACCGCCGAGCGCGGCCTGTGCCGCCTCGGTCCTGGTCGTCTTGTAGATTCCTAGCGTGAGGCCGCGAGTCTTCCTGCCTCCGCCCCGTCCGTTCCTTCTCACCTCCCTCTCCCTAGCTCTCCCTCTCCCTCTCCCTCTCCCGCTCTTTCCCTCTACCGCTCCATCGCTTGCTCCTCCCCCTTTTGCCCCTGCTGCTTGCCCTCTCCCCTGGCTTGTGTTGGTGCGCACCCTGCTGGGCCTTCGAGCCTGTTTCGCCAGTCAGACAAGTGGCGAATCTCAGTTTTTGTTGGTCCACGTGCTCTCTGCACGAATTAGGCTCACAGTTGTCCTTCATTGCAAGCCTGTTTGACATTATCTTTGAACTATTGTAGCAAGTTTCGCATAAATACACACATATTCATGTACATCTCATTTTCGCATTCCGATTTATTCTAAATATGCTTGATCACAGAAAAATGTTGATGGTAGGCTCAGTGCTAGCGGTTGCAGCTCTTGTTCGCTGCTGCGCCACATTTTTGGCCTGCGCGTGGGGCGCTCACCGGCAGGAATCTTTCAGCCAGCGTCTGGCCTCTGTACAAGGCGCCTAGCGCCTAGCGTGAGCGGGTCTAGCCTAGCCAGTTTTGGGCTGCCCCGTTCTTTCTTTCTCATTTTTCCCTTCGCGGGATCGGGCGGGCAGGTGGCGGTAGTTGTTTTTGTTGGTTGCGCCGCCATGTCCCGCCCCAGAGCTGAGAACGGCAACTGCCCATTCCATCGTTGCGCGTGCCTCCCCCTTCCCCCTCCCCCCTCTTCTTTCTCGCCACCCCTCTTCACCACACTCCGCCAGAGCTCTCTGGAGGTTCCCAGAGGTGCGCAATCTGCTGATGCAGCCGGTTGCAGTTCTGCTTCCAGGCGCCTTCCTCGATATATGGTCCCCTCTGGCACCAGGAGGCGCCGGGAAAAGCATCTGCATGCTTCGCTAGCCTTAGCAGACGAAGACTTGTACAGCATATACATTTTCGCCGTGGGGGACTCCTGTCCAGGGGCGACCCGAAGGTTTACACCCCTACGGTGGCACGTGCGTGTATCATTTTTCCAGCCGCTCCGGGACGGGCGTCCCCGATTGCGCATTATATCATTGTATGCCAGTTTGCGTCCGCTGATTGCTCCCCGTTTTGCAATCCCCCTTCTCGCCCGCCCCGATGCTCTCCCTCGCTCGTCTCCCTCCACTCCTCCCCAGCCGCTCCAGCACAGGCATATTTCTCTTGACTGCTCCGACGGGGCCTCCTTTGTGGCCTGCCCGCGCTGCAAGGCACACCGCCGGCACGGCGGGGTCGGAAATCTCGCCCGAGAGTGCAGTACATTCCATTCCCGCAAGTCGTGAAGCAGAAGCGGCCTGGACGGCCTCTTGCTCGGGGAGCAGCCGACATTCCCCGGCGTGCCCGTCCAGCAGGCCCTGGTCACCGTGACCAGGGCAAGGCAGTCAGCCCGCAGAGATGCCTTGATCTTCGCGGAGGTCAGGGGGAAAGTGAGAAGGGGCAGACCTTCTCAGATGGCGGCGGAGCTTCTCAGAAGCTCTCGCGCCCTCTGAGAAACCGCCTGTGGCTCCAGGGAAGGCTGACGAAGCTTCTCAGAGGGCGCGAGGTCTTCTGAGAAGCCCCGCCGCCTTCTGAGAAGGCCTGCCCAGTCTCACTTTCCCCCGGGTGGCGCTTCGGGTGCGGGGAGGATGAGCCTCTATCGTTTCGTCCTTGTCGTCGTTTTCGTTGTCGTCGTCTTGTTTCTCTAGTGGTAAGAATATTTGTATACATGTATATGTATATATATATGTATATTAAAAAGTGTATGTGTACATATGTGTTTGTGCGTGCATATGCACATGTACGTCTGTGCGTGTACACGTACACCGAAACCGTTCAAATATGGGACGACTCGTTGTACAGATAGTCACACGGATGTATGTGTGCATTACCATGTTCTTTTGCTTCAGGGAACCCAGGGGACTCTCTGGGGACTTTCATACGGAGGAGGATGAGGAGGGGCAGGCGGAGGAAGCGACAGGGGAGGATGCGGGGGAACAGGAGCAGGAGGAGGAGGAGGAGGAGGACGAAGAGGAAGCGACGGAGGAGGATGAGGAGGAGGAAGAGGAGGAGGAGGAGGGGGAGGGGGGGGAGATGCGACGGGGGAACATGAGGGGGAGCAGGAGGAAGGGGATGAGACGCAGAAAGAGGAACGGGGGGAGGGAAAAGGATGGGATGCGAAGGGGTGGAGGAGGAGGAGGAGGTGGAGGAGGAGGAGGGGGATGAGGAGGATAAGGAGGGGGAGGAGTAGGAGAATGAGGAGGAGGGGGTTGGCGAGGAGAGGGGGAGCAGGATAAGAACGAGGAGAGGGAGGCGAAGAAGTAAGCGAAGGCTGAGCAGGCGGAGGTCGGGGATGACTGCAGAGTCTGATGCAAGTCATGGTTGAAGGTGGGATTGTTTGGGCAGCCTTGCTGCAGAATGGCGTCGGCATGCGTAGGCGATCCCATCGAAACCTTCGGTCGGCGCCTGTCCTCCTCATACTCCATTCCATTCCTCCCTCCTTCTCCTTCCCTCCTAAGTCTCCCCCTCCCTCCTCCTCCTCGTCCTCCTCCTCCTCCTCTTCCTTCCCCTCTCCTCCTTCTCCTCCTTCTCCTCCTCCGAACATCTGCATGCTGCGCTGGAGCATGTGAAAGGCTTGTTTGAACCAGGGTTGCGTATGTAACGGGTGCCATCTGTATCGTTTCAGCCTGATGTAGTGGTGCGCAGACGATTTGCGACTCAATTTTCGGGTTCTCCCAGCTTTGCTCACAACAGGCCATTGTGGACTCGGCGTTATACTGCGAATGCGCCGCAGGAACTTTCAGCCGTCCTCCATCCAGGAGCGGTCAGGGGGCCTGGAGATGCCGCTCAGGTTGAAGCAACGTCGGGACGTGTTTAGGGTTGAGTGGATTGATGCCTCCGATTTAAAGCTTGCCCTTGAACGCAGGGGCATTCGTCGATCGTATCGGCGATAAATGCATGTCTGCGGAAGCGAGCCATATTTTGAGTGTTCTGGCTATTCTCGATGCTGGTGGACACTCATTAATACAACCAGTGCGACTGTGGAGCGGGAGTGAGTCATCGCATACGTACCTGTCGAGGTAGAGACCCTGGTTGGCGACCAGCTCTGGCAGCGCGTGAAGAACGCCCAGGCGTCCTCGGATGGGATGCAGTGCAGGCGTTTTGGATTGATAGCAGTCGTAAAAAGGGGTACTAGACACACGCTGACGATTCGCTCGATGTGTGCATCATTTCGATTGCACTTGCGCGCTCACACATGATGATGGGGGCATTTTGATTTCAGGGCAGCCCACCATGCCTTGATACCATTGTGTTGCGTGTGTTTGCAGTATGGCTGTGGTCGGTTGGTCGATGTGTGTCAACACCGGCATCGATATCGCAGAGCCTGCACCCCGATTTGGAGTCGTTATTTTGATTCAGTGTGCGGAACAGCCAAACTACGATACACTCCAATGATTGGCGACACGAGTTGTGTTCGGATGCCTTCAGGGAGTGCGTTGCTTGATTTGCTCTCCACGATGCGGCAGTACGCGAGCGGACTGTGTAGTCATTCACACTTGGCGTACCCCCACCAGCCCATCCAGCGACGATGCATATGTGAGTTGTCTTGGCCAGGGGCTTCGCAAAATGCTGCAACACAAAGCGGGCGGGCATGCGCTCATGTCACTCGCGGCCAGTGGGGACGCCGCGAAGGCCGTCACAGTTGACCCCTACGTTGTTCGTGACAGCTGGTAGGCGAGAAGAAACCAGGAGTAAACCAGAAGGGCACCCGCTTCTTGGAGCATGTTGGGGCCCTCGTGGGTTGCTCCTGGGGGCTCTTGTGGCTGTCTTGGACCTATCTTGGGAGCCCTTGGGGCTTCCTTGAGGCCCTCCTTGGGGGCCCTGTGGGGCCTCGTGGGGCCATCTTGGAGGACGTTTGTCAAAGAAGAGCGGGTTCTCATTTAGCCTGGGCCCCCTGGATTCTTTAGAATCGCCTCTTGAGGCTCTCTTGGGGCGTCCTTGAGCGCTCCCGGCGCCATCCTGGAGCCCTCTTGGGTCCCTCTCGAGGCTTTCTTGGGACAATCTTGGAGCCATCTTGAAGCCTCGGCCTCGAAAGCCCGTCAGAAGCGAAACGGGGAGAGTGCACAATTCAGGTGTCCTCATTGTGCTTTGAGAGGGTGTTGGCGTCTCAGGGCCTCACTGGGAGGCTCCGTTGCCACTTGAGGCCGTCTTGAGAGGGCCTTGGTACCCCTGGAAAGCAAGCAGCGCAGAGGCCGTCTGGAACCATCTTGGGTTATCGTATGCCATCTTGGGCCATCTAGAGCCCTCTTGAAGCCATCTTGAGCTATCTTGGACGCTCTAACCCCTCGCATGACGCCCTGTTTAGACCCAGGTGGGGAGAGGGGGAGGGGTAAACCACTCCCCGAAGGGAAGAACGGGGTTGGAAGTGGAAACGCCCTGGGCCTTCCACTCAGAGGGCTGGTAGGATTCGACAGCATTGCATGCCTGCGCTGTCACCTTCCGCGCAACTCCTTGCTCCCCAACCTTTTCAAGAGGTTTACGCCATTCTGCCAACCCCCAGAAGAGGCGGGGAGTCCACGGTTGAGGCGTCGTGGCTTCTTGGGCACTATCTGGGGCCTCTTGTAGGCGTCTCGGGACATATTTGGTGGCCTGGCGGAGCCTCTTGGAGGCAGTTTTGAAGCGTCTTGGGGCCCGTTTTGAGTTTCTTGGGGCCTCTTGTGGGCCTCTTTGGGGCCTCTTAGGGCTTATTGGGGCCTCTTTTGGGTTGCTTGTGGGTTTCTTGAGGCCTTTGGGGGGGTCCCCTTGGGGGGAAAGATGGGATGTTGAGTTCGTGTTCTCCCTCTTTGCCTCAGTTGGGCCCCTCTTGGGGCGATCTTTGGCCGTCTTGGGCCCCTCTTTGGGCCGTCTTGGAGACTTCTCGGGCCGTCCTGTGGCCTGTAGGGGCCTCTTGGGCACTTAGCGGCGGTCTACGAGGCCTCTTGGACCGTGTAGGAGCGTTGGAAGTTCGAGAAGACGAGAACCCCAGAAACAATTAAAGGCCTAAGGACAGCCGTGGATGTTTGCCTCTCGGGGCCCTCTTGGGAAGTCTCTAGGGGCGTCTCGAAGGCGTCGTGGAGCGTCTTGGAGCCGTCGTAAGCGTCTTGGGTCAATCGGTCCGCGATGTCTTGGAACGTCTTTGAGGCCACGGAAGGCAGATTTGGAAGCTCTGGTGTCTTCCGGGGTGCGCCGGCGAGCTCGGATACCCCCCCTTTTTAGAGGAGATTTTGGACCTTGGGGCAGGGAGACAGGGGGATGGGAATGGCCAATCATCTCACACGCCTTCTGATCCCGGGCAATCGGGGGTCGGCGGATTCCGCCTTCGCCTCTGCCTTCGCCTCTGTCACGGAGCAGATGGGAGACCTCGATCGCAGGTGATTGTGGCGACTTGCATTGGGAGCGGCATGGATGTGCTCAACAGCAAGGGCGGGGTTGGCAATTTCCAGCGCGTGGTCATCGATGAGTGCACCCAGGCCCTCCCTGGAGGATGCATGCAGCGAGCTGCCTGCTACGTGTTACGTCGGGTGAGCACCGAGGGTCTGGGCGAGTTTGCCTTCAGGCGGGGGGGACATGTATGCGAAGCACTCTGCCATATCCCCTACAAGAGGGGTTCAGGTTGGTAAGTTAACACATTGCCAGCAGAGAGCAGAACCATAATTACGCAGGAGTGTGGCCATATTCCCGATGCGCTCTGGTATACGCATGGACGCGCGCACAATATGTTAGCATTCATATGCACATAGATGTCAGACGATTTCCTGCACATGTGTACATTCAGGGTCGATGTGCCTGTGTATATAATGTGTTTGCTTGTCATGGCCATGCGTACATCACATGCTTAGCACCGGGTCCCTGGGCCCAGTGACGGCTCCCTCTCCTGGATTCCCCCCTGGCAGAGAGGGCTTCCGGCGGCCGCAAGAAAGTGCAAACGCCCGCCAACATGTCGCAAGACAGCTCCTGGATGACTCTAAGGAAACCCAAGAGGTCCCAGAAAGCTCCAAGACGACTCTAGGCTGGACCCTAGACAAACCCCAGGCGGCCAAAGTCAGTGAAACATGTAAGAATCCTGGCTCAACGCTTTCTTGTGTGTATGTTGTTCATTTCCTTTTCAATGCCACGAGGGCTACGGCGGAGCCAGGGGGAGGCCAGGAGCGCCCCAATAAGGACCCCCAACAGGGTCCCGAGACGGCCCCAGAGAATCCCAACAGGACCCCATGAGGGAGCCCAAGATGGCGCAGGACAACTCCCTGACGGCTCAAGACGACTCCAAGATGGCCCCCAAAGCGCCTTGACATGCCCTGAGAAGGCTCCAAGACGGCCCCGCGAGGGCCCAAGAGGGCTCATGATGGTTCCAAACCAGACCCACGAGGCCACGAGAGGGCCGCAAGAGGACCCCCGCTGCCGGGCTGCCCCCCCCCCTCGCACCCTCGCAGACCGTAGGATGGAGAGACCGAGGGGGAGAGAACAGGCGAGGGGAGGAGAGGAGAGAAGGGTCAGAGGAGGAACATGTACCCATACCGCTACCCTTCCGTCGTTTTCTCCTTCGTGGGCCTCCCGGAAGGCCCTCGTCGCCACCGCTGGAGTCGCCTCGAAAATCTGATCAGAACGCATCCCGGGAGAGGGCTGGGGAGTAGCGGTATCGGTAACACCTGGTTTCCCCAAAGAAGATCGGAGGATGAGGTGCAGGAAGAGGGGGAGATGAAGATACGGATGATGACGATGATAATGCTGATGATGATGATGATGATGATGATGATGATGATGATGATGATGAGGATGAGGATGAGGATGAGGATGAGGATGCTGATGATGATGATGATGATGATGATGATGATGATGATGATGATGATGATGATGATGATGATGATGATGATGATGATGATGATAATGATGAAGAGGAGGGTGTGGATTGTGCTCTTGCTGCTGCTGGTGAAGACGATGTGGATGACGATGATGCTGATGATGAGGAGACGGGGAAGGAGGAGGAGGAGGAGTAGGAGGAGGAAGTTGAGACGGATCAGAAGGAGGAGGAGGAGGAAGACAGGAGGAGGGAGAGGAGAGCGGAGAGTGAGGGTGTTTATGATGATGCTGATGATGACGGTGAGGTTGATGATGATGATGATGATGATGATGATGATGATGATGATGATGATGATGATGATGATGGTGGTGTTGGTGGTGGTGATGGTGATGTTGATGATGGTGATGATGGCGAGGATGCAGATGAGGATGAGGATGATGATGATGTTGCTAATGGTGATGCTGATGCTGATGGTGATATGATGTTGATGGTGATGTTGGTGGTGGTGATGGTGATGGTGATGATTCTGCTGATGATGGTGATGGTGATGGCGATGATGCTGATGATGCTGACTATGACGAGATTGATGATGATGGGGATGATGATACTGGTGGTGATAATGATGATGGTGAAGTTGATGGTGCTGATTGTGCTGATGGTGGTGGTGGTGATGGTGACGATGAAGATGACGATGTCGATGCCGATGATGATGACGATGATAATGATGATGATGATGATGATGATGACGATGCTGATGAGGATTATGTTGATGATGATGATGATGATGAGGCTGATGCTGCTGATGCTGATAACGATGGTGAGGGTGCCGATGAACATTTGGAGGAGGGGGAAGAGCAGGATCAGACGAAGGATAAGTATGTTGATGATGCTGTTGCTGATGGTGTTGATGATGTGGATAATGACGGCGATGAAGGTGGCGCTGGTTGTGTTGATGCTGATGATACTGATGATGGTACTATGGTTGGTGATGATGAGGAGGAGGAGGTGGACAACATGTGGAGTGAGATCTTGGCAGTGGTGTGTATTTCTGCGTTTTTGCTGCTGCGGGTGTCCCTTCCGCCTTGGCCCATCCTTATGGTGGAGACCTTCATCCTTCCCTCATTGGTCCTCGACGAGGCCCGTCGAATGCGTTTGCCCCCCCCTCGTTTACTTCCGTCGGGCCCAGCTGGGCTCTTGGTGGGCGGCCCCTTTCTCTAGAGTCAGGTTGCTTATTGACCGCTGGAGCTTGACGGGAGGAGAGGAGGATGGCAACAGGACAGCATGGTCCACCACCACGCTCGTGGCGTTCATGACCTGGACACGAAGGGGCTGCCTTTGTGGTTGTTTGCCCACCCTTGCCTGTAGACCCTTACTTGGACGGCGGGCTTTGTCTGCTCTCTGGGCGCGATATGCCGCCTCATTCGGTAGCAAATCGTGGGAGCTGGGCATTCCCTCTTAATTCCGTCTTTAGCGTCGATTGACGTTTGGGAGCCTATGAGATAGCGCCGATTTAGCGTCTGTTAGCGTCGATTAGCGTTGATTTAGCGTCGACTAGCGTCGATTCGCAAGAGCCGACAAGATGGTATTGGAGGCTCTCATGAGTTGCCACAGGAACCTCAAATCAGGGACCCCTGAGGTCATGAACACCTGTCTTAAGCCACGGGCGAACGGCGGGGAACACGTGGAGCGGGAGGTGGTGGAGGTCAAGGAGGCGGAGGCGGAAGAGGAGGACCAGAGGAGGAGGCTGCTGCTGCGGAGGAGGAGGAGAAGGAGGAGAAAGGCAGACAGAACAGGCTTCGTGCTGAGCGGTCGAGCAAATCCAAAATGGAGAGGAGGACGAGGCGGAGGAGGAGGGAGAGGAGTATCACTAGTCGTAGTAGGGTCACGCTTCGCCTATGCCTGGTCAGTTCCCGCGTCGCTTATGGTAAGCATTCCTGGTGGGGAACACTTACAAGTAGATGAGGTCCAAGTGCTGAACGTGTATACTTGGCTCGTCACTTCTGGCCGGCGCCCTGGACTCCATAGGAGTCCCTTTAGCCCTTCGGGCGTGAGTGGTAGCTCGTTCTGGTAACCCCTTTCTTCCCCCTTGGCTTCCCCCCTGGTCTGGAAGGGGCGTTCCGCGAAGGGTTGGAGCGTCCAAGATGGCTCAAGATGATGCCAATAGGGTCCCAGATAGCCCAAGATGGCCTCCAAGTTCGCTGAATATAGACCAATGTGGTTGAAGATAGCCTCCATCATGCCTACAAGAGCTACCAATCTCGCTCCAAGACGGCTCCAATTGGCCACTGAGCTTCCCACATCTTCCTCCGAGAGGCCAACATTCTTCCAAACCTATTCGATACCATATTTCTATCCACCCAAGGGATAACACGTGTTCCCCCCCCCTGCCCCCCCCTCCCCCGCAACGGTAACGCCCCGGCCCAGTCCAGTGCGCGATCCCGGGCAGCCTAGGGCCTGTGGTGCGCGCGGGTACTATTAGTGCCGCGGTGCACGCGGGAGTGCTTTCTGGTGTACGCAGGCTTTGCGGTGTACACGGTCGTTGTGGCGCACATATCTGTCGTTGCAGCAGCAGTTGTGGTGTACACAGGCATAGTGGGTGTACGCAAGCATTGTGGTGTACAGTCCTCCTTGCGCATGCAGGACGCGGGCATTGTGGTGTACACAAGCATTGTGGTGCACACAAGCCTTGTGGTGCACAGAGGCGTTGTGTTTCACATTCGCTGTGGGCTCAAAATGTCCTATCGTTCCTCGGGCCAGAAAACAATAATCACAATCAGATCGCCCATAGAATATGATACATTCGGGCCCCCAGCGATATCCCCGACTGTGGCTCCGTCAGGGCCGTAGAGGTAGGTGTACACGAGGAGGAGGAGAAGTAGGAGGAAAAGGAAGAGGAAGAGGAGGAGGAAATATCATATAGATAGTAGTAGTAGTAGTAGTAGTAGTAGTAGTAGTAGTAGTAGTAGTAGTAGTAGTAGTAGTAGTAGTAGTAGTAGTCGTAGTAGTAGTCGTAGTAGTAGTCGTAGTAGTAGTCGTAGTAGTAGCAGTTAGTAGTAGTAGTAGTAGTAGTAGTAGTAGTAGTAGTAGTAGTAGTAGTAGTAGTAGTAGTAGTAGTAGTAGTAGTCGTAGTAGTTAGTAGTAGTAGTAGTAGTAGTAGTAAGTAGTAGTAGTAGTAGTAGTAGTAGGTAGTAGTAGTAGTAGTAGTAGTAGTAGTAGTAGTAGTAGTAGTAGTAGTAGTAGCAGTAGTAGTAGTAGTAGTAGTAGTAGTAGTAGTAGTAGTAGTAGTAGTAGTAGTAGTAGTTAGTAGTAGTAGTAGTAGTATAGTAGTAGTAGTAGTAGTAGTAGTAGTAGTAGTAGTAGTAGTAGTAGTAGTAGTAGTAGTAGTAGTAGTCGTAGTAGTAGGAGTCGCAGTAGCGAGATGGGTAGTAGCAGTCGTAGTAGACCTGGAAGGAGTAGTATTCGTAGCAGTATTGGTAGTTGTAGTAGTAGTAGTCGTATTAGCAGTAGTAGTAGTAGTAGTCGTAGTAGTAGTAGTAGTAGTAGTAGTAGTAGTCGCACTAGTACTAGTAG